TGTCTGATCACCTCTTTGGCACTTAGTTTACAGTGATAATGCACTAGGTTGGTGCACTGTCTTGTTTTATATGCCAAACTTTTTTTTTTTTTCTTTTTACTTATGAAGCATATATTCAATGGCTCTTTAAGCTGCCTGTTGACTCTTTGGTTGGGTTGTCTGGCTTCTGAATTCTATCTCAGTTTTTACCAACCATCCCTGCTAACACTATCCTAACTATATTATTATACAGGATTTATATAGTGCCAACAGTTTGCTCAGCACTTTACAATATAAAGGGAGACAATACAGCAACAATACAGTTCAATACAGGGATAGGAGGGCCCTGATCCTTGGAGCTTACAATCTAGAACTATACCTTTACCCTATCTGAAAACTGCCATACATAGCTCAATAGATTGGCACAGCAGATTTGACATTTTTTAAATTGATCTGTGCATGCGGAGATTGTAACCAGAGCAAAAAAAAAACAAACGTGCGCATCTGAGTGTTGTAATCATTGATTTTCTAACAATAAAGGAAATCGCTTTGTGTGTGCCGCATTATCCCATAGATGAGAAGATCGTGCCAGATGTTCGAGTAAGTATGGACAGAAATTACAACAATTTTTTTTTCTTAATACACATTCTGCCTGTCTCTTGCTATTCTAAACTTAGCCCTTACCCCCTGCTTTAAACACAACTAAATTCTATTACATCAGGAACATCAGGCGGATTGTAAAAGCTCACTGTTTAACCCAGTCATTTGTTCCTTAATATCTTTCAATGTATCTTTAAATACAAAAACTAGAGGTAACTGTATAGGTAACTGAATCTATCTCTTTGTTGGCTTCTTTTAACCTCCTGCATAGCATTGCTTAGAAAAGCATAAACACAAACGCTTAGTCAATCTAAGCGTTCCAGTTTATGAAAGGTCCGGACAAGACAAATTCCTTAGGAACAGTTTTTTTATTGCCCTTAGCAATCCCTCAGACTCCAATTGAGGTTCTTCTGGTGCCTGTTTAAAAATGAAAGAAAAGGTATTTGGATATTTTCAGCAACATTTGTCATACATAAGAAATAGGTTGGTTATGGGCAGCTCAGCAGCTAAGTGGCTATCACCGACAGTAGTAGGATTGTTGGTTTGAATCCCAACCACAGCACTACCTGCCTGGATGCTCTCCCTGCGCTTGCATGGGTTTCCTCTTGGCAGGGGCAGACTGACCATTTGAGCACTTGGGCACTGCCCGAGGGCCCGGGATCAGTAGGGGGCCCCATGAAATGCCCCTGGTACCTTTTTTATAGACTTTTTTGGGTGTGCTTTGAGTGTGGGCAAGGACACAGGGGCCCCATGATCCCCTATTGCCCGAGGGCCCCATGAGTTGTCAATCCGCCCCTGCCTCTTGGTATTCTGCTTTTTTTCCCCCACACTCCAAAGGCATGCTGGTAAATTCATTAGTTTTACTATATGTATGAATGTGAGTAAAGCTGAGTATAGTTTACATGTACTGAAAGTTGGCTGGTTCAGCAGGAACTGGTTGATGTTTAGTCTGTCCCTGTTCAACAGAAGCCAGTCTAACATGCTTCTGTCAAACAGTCATGCTGTAAAACCAGCGATCGATAGGCTGCATGCACTGATCTGTGTATTCTGACGAGGAGCCCTCGCTGTCATGAAAACAATAGTATTGCAAGGGTGATCCCTGTATCCACATTGCTTATGTGTTTTTTTTTGTTCAACCCGCAGGTTGAACAAAAAGAAAAAAAATGTGCATGTATACCCTGCTTTAGGAACCTTTGCCTGTAAGCTCCTTCAGGGCAGGGACGGATGTGAATGTACAATATATATATATATATATATATATATATATATACAGTCAGGTCCATAAATATTGGGACATCAACACAATTCTAACATTTTTGGCTCTATACACCACCACAATGGATTTGAAATGAAACAAACAAGATGTGCTTTAACTGCAGACTGTCAGCTTTAATTTGAGGGTATTTACCTCTAAATCAGGTGAACGGTGTAGGAATTACAACAGTTTGCATATGTACCTCCCACTTGTTAAGGGACCAAAAGTAATGGGACAGAAAAATAATCATAAATCAAACTTTCACTTTTTAATACTTGGTTGCAAATCCTTTTCAGTCAATTACAGCCTGAAGTCTGGAACGCATAGACATCACCAAACGCTGGGTTTCATCCCTGGTGATGCTCTGCCAGGCCTCTACTGCAACTGTCTTCAGTTCCTGTTTGTTCTTGGGGCATTTTCCCTTCAGTTTTGTCTTCAGCAAGTGAAATGCATGCTCAATTGGATTCAGGTCAGGTGATTGACTTGGCCATTGCATAACATTCCACTTCTTTCCCTTAAAAAACTCTTTGGTTGCAGTATGCTTTTGATCATTGTCCATCTGCACTGTGAAGCTGCATCCAATGAGTTCTGAAGCATTTGGCTGAATAGGAGCAGATAATATTCCCGAAACACTTCAGAGTTCATCCTGCTGCTTTTGTCAGCAGTCACATCATCAATAAATACAAGAGAACCAGTTCCATTGGCAGCCATACATGCCCACGCCATGACACTACCACCACCATGCTTCACTGATGAGGTGGTATGCTTAGGATCATGAGCAGTTCCTTTCCTTCTCCATACCCTTCTCTTCCCATCACTCTGGTACAAGTTGATCTCGGTCTCATCTGTCCATAGGATGTTGTTCCAGAACTGTGAAGGCTTTTTTAGATGTCGTTTGGCAAACTCTAATCTGGCCTTCCTGTTTTTGAGGCTCACCAATGGTTTACATCTTGTGGTGAACCCTCTGTATTCACTCTGGTGAAGTCTTCTCTTGATTGTTGACTTTGACACACATACACCTACCTCCTGGAGAGTGTTCTTGATCTGGCCAACTGTTGTGAAGGATGTTTTCTTCACCAGGGAAAGAATTCTTCAGTCATCCACCACAGTTGTTTTCCGTGGTCTTCCGGGTCTTTTGGTGTTGCTCAGCTCACCGGTGCGATTCTTCTTTTTAAGAATGTTCCAAACAGTTGTTTTGACCACCCCTAATGTTTTTGCTATCTCTCTGATGGGTTTGTTTTGTTTTTTCAGCCTAATGATGGCTTGCTTCACTGATAGTGATAGCTCTTTGTATCTCATCTCGAGAGTTGACAGCAACAGATTCCAAATGCAAACAGCACACTTGAAATGAACTCTGGACCTTTTATCTGCTCATTGTAATTGGGATAATGAGGGAATAACACACACCTGGCCATGGGACAGCTGAGAAGCCAATTGTCCCATTACTTTTGGTCCCTTAACAAGTGGGAAGCACAAATGCAAACTGTTGTAATTCCTACACCGTTCACCTGATTTGGATGTAAATACCCTCAAATTAAAGCTGACAGTCTTCAGTTAAAGCACGTCTTGTTTGTTTCATTTCAAATTCATTGTGGTGGTGTATAGAGCCAAAAATGTTAGAATTGTGTTGATGTCCCAATATTTATGGACCTGACTGTATATGCTCATAGCAGCCAGTCAGCATCATTTTTTTATTCTGAAACCATGGAATGATGTTGTTGTTCTAGGAAACAAACAGAAGGACATGCACACATTTAATTCTTTAGCTTCATAGAACTTTCTGCATTGTGGGCTCTTAAAAGTTTGCAGTGGCTGTCTAGTGTTGGCATTCCCAGAGCTGCCACGTGGAGAGCTGGCAAATACTTGGCTGTGTAGGAGTTGTTAGAGAGGAACCTCTAGCTCATCACTCTGTGTCAGATCCTTGGTGTAGGGTATGCATTTTAGTCGCTAGGACAGACTACAAATCCTTTTGAGACTTTCTGTCAGCTGCTGTTGACCTTTTAATGAAACCGATGTCATTGCAAACTATCAGATAAAAAGAATGTGACTGATGGGGCTATTTAGTGTGATGAAACTGATTGTTATGTCAGAGAGGATCTAGAATGTTAAGCAGGGTCGGAAGTTACAGGCCTGATGATAAATGCACAGGAATGTATTAGGCTCCTAAATTTCATTTAATCTACTATAACTGTATAATACTGTATGTTGGCCATTTAAAACTTTTGAACATAAAAAAGTCCTGCCTAAGAGGAGATAACACATGTCTACTTTTACCTTTATTAGTCAGAAATCCATGATCACTTACCTCTCTGAAATTATTTTGACTTTGCTACTGCAACACTTTTTCATGTGCTGCCAAGCCCCCACATGTTTCTCAAGCCTGTACTAGTATTCTTCTTTTGTTTCTGAGACTCTCTCTGCCTCTCCCACAGCCTGGTCCACACAGTCTATACCAACTTTTCCCAGCACATTCAGCATGCTCAATCTGTTGCTCCAGGCTTCCGACATTGTTCCTGGTGCACTGCACCTGCCTGGATGATAGCACTGTTGCTGATATGATCCACCTGCCATTGCAGGCCTTTAACCTCTTTCCTGCTTTGTGGCACCAATTGCTGCTGGCTGCTGGCACTGTTACCGTCACCTTTCTCCTGTCACTTCAGGACGCTTCCTGGCATGCTCCAACTGTCTCTTATGGCTGCTGGCACCTTTCTTTGTATGTTCTGCTTGCCAAACTGTGTTCCTTCAAGCCCTTGCAGGAGAGAACGCCTGGCATGCTCCAAGTCTGCTCCTCCAAGCTCTTCAGCTGAGAATAGCTACTGCTAGTATGCTCCATTTGCTAAACACTACTGCTCTGGGCCATTGAAGCTGGGCACAGCTACACTGGGTATACTTTGTTTTCCAAACTATTCCCCTCTGAGCTTTTGCAGCCGAGCACATCTGAGAATCTCTTTTTGGTGCTTCTGCCAGTTTCTCTGTTAACTCACTAGTTGCTTGGCTGTTTCCATCAGTGGTCATATTGCATCTTCCTGCTATGTCTGCCAGTATCTAGGAAAGCAACCTGTGGGTTAGGATCAGGGGCGGAATGACCATTTGGAAACTCGGGCACTGCCCGAGGGCCTAGGTCAGTAGGGGGCCCCATGAGATGCCCCTGGTACCTTTTTCATAGGCTTTTTTGAGTTTGGGTAAGGACACAGGGGCCCCATGATCCCTTATTGCTTGGGGGCCCCATGAGTTGTCAGTCCGCCCCTGGTTAGGATGCATCCATTTCCCCATGAGGGGGTCCTGGATAAATATCACTTGTCTCTTAGACTCTGCTCTGTAGTGAACTCAGTCATAGTCAGGGTAGGATCTTGTTCACTCCTCCTTTTCACTCAATTCATCACAATTGCTTTGTCTTGTTAGGTGTTTGTGAGTGGGTGCAGTGTTGTGTGGCGATAATAACTCACCCAGTCCCCGTACAATCAGTAGCACTTGTATTGTAGTAAAGGCAAAACAATTCAAACAGTGGACAGAAATCTGGCGCTCAACAGGGAAAACAGATAGTCCACAGTACTATGGGATTCTAGAAATCTCTAAGTGGGTATTCCAAGGCTGTGATCCAGAGGTTGCTACTGTATAGAGTTAGAAATTACTTTGCAAGCAAGCACAAGGAAAAAAGCAGCGCCGATCTGAGTGTAGCAACAGTGGATTTATTGAGACAAGTATAAAAAGGCCTGATGAAGGAGCACGCATGCTCCAAACACGTGCCACGCCCACTGCTACATACCCGACTTGCTGATGTCACACCCGGCACCTGCAGAGCCTCTGAACCATCCAGGAAGTGCTGGAAGCCACCAGCACCACCAGTGGGATTCTCAGCGAGCAGCAGCTATTAACAGCGGTACTGCCAGCAGACCGCGTTTTTTTCTCTGATGAGCGCTTATTTTACTCCTTATCCTGCAAGTGCACATTTTGTTTGATGCCTGTCTCAATAAATCCACTGTTGCTACATTCAGATTGGCTCTGCTTCTCTCCTTGTGCAAAACAGTTCAAAACAAACCGGGGGGACCCAACCGGGAGCGCACTCACGAGTGCCAACAGCGTGTAGCAGAGCAGGTATCCGTCGAACTGACAGCATGTGTCTGGAGGGGCAGAATGCAGCCTGGCCATCTTGTACCCAAACTGCAAGATGCCTAAGGAAATTGCGATCCCTAGGCTTTCCCTCCTCATCTGAAACCTTTCTCTGCTGCTAATACTGCCCCTGAAAGATGGAAGACCTGTCTGTACACTACTCACATGAGAATGAGCGCCAAAACCTTGGGAGCAGGTACTTAGAAAAACTCTGCTGATCCAGGATGGCCATCAAGGATCACCTGGATTCAGCACAGCAAAGCAGAATGCTGCCTCAGGGACCAAGAAACCACAGAGAAACCGAGTTTCCCCTGACTTCCTCTCCAAGATGTGATCCTGCTCCATTCGGGTGCCACCTGCAGTGGAGGAAGCAGACTTCACCTGCCTACAAGCAATCAATATTAGTAATTGATTGCTTCATTTTAAAAAACAAATGTGAATAGAGTCAAAAATATTAGCTTTTTTTGTTTACTTGGCTCATAGGGGCATATATAGACACTCTCCAATCTGTGGCTGCATGTCAAACTCTAACACATCTGTGTGGCAGCATTCTTTTAATGGCCCCTTCTTAGATTTGAACAGCCAGGAGATCTTTTGCATGCATCATTCGCTACCTACTCCTTAATGAACAAACACATTTAAAAAATCCTATCTATTTTTAAGTCCACCATCACTCCCTACTCCCCACAAACAGTATCTTTCTCTGTCAGGAGAAAGTACCCTTAATGGTCATTGAGAGGTCATGCGGCCTATGTTATATGTGATATGTCACCTCCTTTGGGTAGCGAGAAGGGCAATTCTTGACCTTGGGAACACTTTCTGGGCATTATCAGAGACTCAGGCCCTTTTTAAAGAGTAAGCATACAATTAAAGGGATTTAGTATGCAGTGCCAGATTCGCAAGAGGAATGCCATTAAGAAACTAGAGCAAGTCAACAGCAAGGTGAGTTCATGAGCCAGAGACTTTTTTTTTCTTTGGGTTCCTCTAGAATTTAATCTGAAAGTGGTCAATAATCTGTCCTCTACTAGAGCCCTTGTCCAGTGCGGGCTGTTCCTACCAAGGTGATAAATTTGTCATCTCAAACTTCTTAGCTCACCTCATGAACTATCAGCTGCATTCTGATGTTATGTTCACTTACAAAACAGATAATTCATCCCTGCATTGTTTCATTATTGTCCAAAGTGTCAGGTACAGGCTGGAAAGTGGGTGGAGTATAGCATCGGAGAGAGAGACGCATTGTACGGTAAGTAGTTAGGATTTTACAAAAAAAATTGTGTTGACTTCTCCTTCTGTGATAAATGAAGAGGAAAATAAACATCATAAGTAAAGTATAATTTTTCCATAGTAGCTTGTTTTGTCGTGATGAAACTCAAGATTTATTCACCAGAGATCTCTGCTTTTCAAAATTACCTGGTTCCAGAGAACCATGCAGAGAAAACTACTTGAAAGTAGAGGGGGAAAAAAGCTCTGCACATAATCTTATGAGTCTTGTAAATTGTTTAGTGATATGCTTATTTTCTCTACATGGCAGCTGAAAGACTGTAGGGGAGTTTGAGTTGTGTGTTTCTTCCAGGTGACCAGAATACAATGCAAAAATTCTTAAAATAAACGCTATACTAGTGTGGGGTTTTTGATTTATTTTTAATTGATGTTTGTTTAAGTATATTTGTTTTAAATTAATATATGACAGAGGATACCCAGAGGACTATGAGTCAGCTATAGAGACGACTCAGTTTTAGTTACCTCCTTTTCAGCTGTTCCATCTGCTGGAAAATGTAGACACAGCCACTCATAATAAATAAGTTACTCCTTTGATGAGGGAATGTGTCTCCAGCTGTTTACAATTCAAGACAAAGTGGCAGGCTCTTTTGCAAGAAGAACCCCCGCTAAACACACCTTCACCGTGCTCCCTATTGGGGCCCCTGTTAAATATCTGGTGCCTCCAGATATAGGGGAGCAAGTCAACTTACCCAGAAGTGCTTGAGTCTAAACAGCTAATTGCCAGGCCTGAACTCTGTCATAAGAGGAAGGGGAAGAAAACATTAACCCCGTGTAGGCTCTAACACCAGCCAACGTGGAGCTTAGATGAGGTGCAGGTGTGTAGAAAAGGTTAGAATAGGTGGATAGGGGTTTTTCTTTCAAAGAGAACCTCTTACTTTGCCCATTCAGTCTCTTTAACATTTTCTTTTTTACAACACCTTCTTCTGGTCTCCCGTTCTTCCAGACAGGCCTGTGCTCTGTGCTAGAGCTCTTTAAATCTCAGGTCTGGATGAACAGAAAAAAATGTCAGGTAATGCAGCTCCCTTGTATTTCATCTGTGTATTTAGCTTTTGTCTGGAGTTCAGCTTCCTATGTAGTACTTCATATTTGCTAGAGTAGAGGCAAAGAGGTGACCAAACTGTGCTGCTTAACATTAGCATAGAAAAGTCAGGTCATCAGGCTGGCTGTGCTGACAGTGTAACTATCAAGACTGGATTGACATTATAGTATTCTCTTGCAGGGGGTAGGACAGTTCCCATATTATGTTCCCAAGCTTTGTATTTGCTTGGAGTTCAGTTTGGAATTTAGCTTAGATGGATTATAATTAATTTCCATAGAGAGAAGAGGGCAGAGCCAAAAGAGGGCAGCTCCAGCATATTATGAAAGAACAATAGTAATCAGGGTGGGTTTTCTAACCTAGGGACCCTACCTGATAGTGGCCAGCCATTAGGCTTAAGGGTTTTTTACAGACATGAGAATTGTTACCTGCTCCAAATATTTTAAGCTGCCATAGTTTGGTCTCAAGCAGCACCCACAAGCTTGTACGTGAAAGTGCAAAGGAATGAATGGAAGTTCAGAGCACATAATGCTGCATAATGAGTAATATCTCACTGGATAGGGAATGGGTGAGTATAAGACTAGAAGGGGTTCATACAATACAAGTGTTCCTTTGGTGCGGTTACACTTTATACATTATATAATCCCCATTTTGATGATGATGTTCAATAGACACACAGGTGCTAAACTTTGGCATCTCAGAGCAGGTAAGTAATTTTTTCTCAGCATGGCAATATAAGAGGTTAAAGCACACTTGTGTCATTGTGTACGCCCACGCAAAGCTGCAGTGACAAAGACATGATAAGCTAGAGAAAAAAACACATTATGGTCATTAAACCTCAACCTACGCCATGCTAACCGGGTCCTGCAACACATGGATAGAAGTGAAGGGAACAGGAGGATGACAGGAGGAAACAGATTTCCTTGTATTGAGTCCGTTGTATCTCTGAGAGCTCTGGAGAAGGAAAAATTCACCAGACAATTTACTGATCAATCTATGAGTAATAGTAATGTCTTTTGTGTTTTTCTTTTTCATTGTGAGCTTCATAAGTGTGTAGGCAGGTGCAGTCCACATTCTCCACCATATGGCACTTGTCCCGAAAGCAGCTGGAGGAGGAAGTCAGGGGAAACTGGGTCTCTCTATGGCTCCCTTGGTGCCCTGAGGCTCCTGTTGGCTACACTGCATCCAGATGACCCTGGTGTCCATCTTGATCATTTTATTCAAAATCCGTGTCCTACCGCAGAGTCACTGAGAATTACCCTACCATCCTGCTGTGCTTTTGAGACAAACTACGCCTGCAGATGATTGGATACAGTAGATATAGTTACAAAGATGTCAGCATAATAATCTATCCATGATTAGGTCTACCGGAGCAAGGCCAGGAATATCTAGCCACCCCAGACCCTATTAAATTTACTCGGACAACCCATACGCTGGTAAATAACCCGCTAATGTCTGAGGGTAGTACCCTTGTGTTCCATCCATTCTTTAAGAGTAGGAGGGGAAGTGCTTTTCCAATGGACTAGTAAAACTTTACGTGCCCAAAATAGTGCTCTAGAGACTGCCTCCCTGTCAAACTGGTCTGCCACGACCTCATCAACTTTAACCTAGGATACAACACTTAGGGTCCAGAGTAAGGGTAGTTTGGAATGCTTGATTAATGGTATTAAGAGCGGCCTCCTAATAACTGTAATTTTGAACAGCGCCATTTCATATGTATCAGAGTGCCATGATCCCTGCTACATATGGGACATAGTGATACCTTAAGGAGGTCCATTTTAAATAGTTTCAAAGGGGTGTCATGTACCCTCAACAGTATATATAACTGGGACGGGTGTTGATGTGTATTTAAGGAGCTATTGTGCACCACTTCCA